TTATGAAATATCAATTTTCCGTCGTTTTAATTGATAGGGTTCATTTCTCCTAAGCAATGGGTCACCCGGGTCCGTCACTGAAGGGTCATCATACACAGTGGAAATAATAGGTCCATGCCATTCCTGTAATTCTTGTCTTTTCTTGTGAAAAATACCAGTTCTCCTTCCTCGTTTTGGTTCTTGAAAACTGAAGAAGAAAACATTTTTGATAAGGTATGAAACTCATCAAGTCTACACAATTTCAACATCATCAAATATTTTTTCTATATACCACAGTAAATAAAAGGTAAAAATTGTGTCTGCATGCAAAAACCATAATTTCAAAATGGCAATGGTTATCTCTTCCATGCTAATTGAATATACAATGTTGAAAAGCCTGTGTTGTTGTTGTTGTTGTTGTTATATCCTCCTTTCAAAGGTTGTCATAGTGTGATACATCAGACTATTGCTATTGGTAAGATTGATTCATACTAGGTGTCTCACTAAGTTCAATCCTAATGTAATTCTCATTCCTATCAACTCACACACTCCTTGTTTCTCGAATCAGTCTTTCCTCTTCTTCCTCCCTTTCCCCAGTCACTAGCTTTGTTGAGTAATACTAATCTTGCTGGTTATTTGATTTTCTTTTCCCTCTTCGGTTGAGGCTGATGTGTTATCTTGATAGGGTTGAATTAGAGTTTTACAAAATCTTAGGATGCTGGGATTGCCAGTGAAGTCTAGTGTGGACCTCTTTATGTACCACAGACAAGATTGCGTAATTCTTGTCAGTGGCCATGGTAACTTTTGTCTCTTTGCGTCCTAGGACAGCCCCATAATTAGGCTGGAACAAGAACTTCATTCATAAAATGTACAACACCATTGATAACTCTAACAAGTCTTATTGAATATAAAGAAAAACTGATTGAATAAAATGTCTGTATTATCTACTGTAGAATCAAGTTCTCTACTTCAGGATAGTGATTTGGGAAATCTAGTTACAAGTGCTAAAGTAATAACCATCCAGTCGACTCTCACTCAATTCTTCTGTCTGTCTGTGTTTTCACTCGGCCACAAGAATTGTGGGTGTGCTGTTAGTGACAACTGTCTTACAAGCAATCATGAACCTCTCTAAGCCTACTTCCTGTAGGGGCCATCTTTGTTTTTTTGTTTTGCTCTCCAGCTATGGATAATGTGACAGGAGCAACCTACTTTGCTGTACTAGTCTCTGTGCATCTGTTGACAGGTGGGAATGGGGGCCTCTGTCATTTATACAGATAACTCCACTCCCTGCTAATTTGACACTGATATATCTAATTTATCCATCTTAATCTTAGGAGATCTTGTTAATTAACTATACTGCACTCTCTTTGTTTAGAATCTTCGTAGATATCTTTTTGTAAACATAATCGTGTTCTTCCGTGGTCACATCAACTCAAACAAATCCCAAGCTTGGGGATTAACAAAAAAAAATGTTTTTTCTAGAATAACTTGTAAGAACACACACATCTTGGACAGATAGTATAATGTAAACAAACCTTTGAATTAACATTTCTCAAGATAAAAGAAATTTGGACAACACATTAATCAGTCTTCTTATCAGCAGGAAGTGGATAGGGTAAGGAACTTTGAGTTTTGATTCTTCTTAGTACCATTTTTAAATCCATTTTATTATTTTAAAACATACATTTTAACCCATTTCCTTTTTTCATTTTTTTCATATCCAGTCAACCTACTATTTTGTGAATTTTATTAATTTAATTTTTATCCAGTTAGTATACTTACACATATGGAAATAAAAAAATCATTTCATTCCCTCAATTATTTGATAATTTTATTCATTAAAATAAAAACAATCTTCTCTTTGTGTCTAAAAAGATTTAACATTTTTGCAACAGCTGTATTGTTTTATACACAGATAAAAATGTAGAACTTTAGACAATATGGAAATATCCACCATTAATTGGTTCATAGCACAAGAGACATTTCCATTTGGATTAGTGTCCCCCATCTTGGAAATTCTGACATAAACTACGGACTCAGGCAGCCCTTCCTTTAGGATTCGCATCCCCCATCTCGGAAATTCTGATATAAACTATGGACTCTGGTAACCCTTCATTTGGGATTAGCATTTGCTTTCAGGAATTCCAATATAAATTCAAGAAGTAAGCGACCATGAAATTCGTGAATATCCAAGGGAACATTAATGTAGTTGAAAATGCAATTCACTAGCAATGCTCACTGCTTGTAAAACATCACGAAAACAGAATTATTGGGGGGGGGGATCAGAGAGACACTCATAAAATTGCTATAAACCGATAAAATCCTGTCAAACCATACATCAAACAAAAGGAAATTGATTTATCTATAAGTTTATCAATGTTGTTCATATGTGTTTTGTGCTTTTATAACTTTTTATAGGTGAGATAAAAAAACAAAAAAACAATCCGAAATTTTGTAAAACCATTTTTTTTTTTATTTCGGTTGAGTGCAATAAAGGGTACTAGTATGTTTAGCTCGATTCCAAAGTAGACAGTGGTGGGAATTTCGTCAAATCTGGATTTTAAAATCAAGGAAAGAATGCTGTTTAAGGTAATATATGTTCAGGTTTGGTTGGTCAAATAGTGTGGCCATAATCAGTTTATCAAAGTTCGACTGATGTGGTTCAGTACGTTTTCATTAAAAAAAAATTTGAACATTTAAATCATTGAAACAGACATTTTGAAATTTTTTTTCATGTAATTATCCTAAATATCTGTCCAGAAAGTTCTTTGGAAATCCATAACACACACACACACACACCATTAACAAAGATTTACTGAAAATTATCCATTCGTTCTCGCCAATTAAAACTGTCGCCTCGACGTAACATTTTTCATTAGGGTAAGGGAGACATCATGACTAGAAATTTAAGTTCAAATATTTAATTTGTGGATGAAGGAGCACTTTTGTAACTGACTGGCATAAAAAATTTAAGGGGATAACTTAAGTTAAATATTCACTATTGCACTAGAAAAAACCTTTGCTATAAAGAAAAATGTTAGTTGATTTTTTAAATATAACTTTAGTGTTTACATTTTTTTAACAACATTAATAAGCGTTTTTTTTTTTTTTTTTACACAAGAAAAATAATTTGTTTGAAAAATATATTTAAATCTTATCAAAACTTGAATTAAAAAATATCAGGTGCACAATAATAATGGTTACTTACTTTTAACTTAATAATTGTAAACATTTCCAGACTCGTTTTTGCTTAACCTTTTCAAGTAATAAATTTTAGATTAATTCATAGATTGCTCATAAAACCTTTCCTTTAGAGATTATTACTATTATTATTATTAACGATAATAATAATAATAATAATTGTGAATTGAGCTTTCAACTGACATTAAAATTGTCCAATAAGATGCTTATTTGTTGGTTTTTAGCTATGCTCAGTTTTTTTAAACAAAAATACACCACTCGCCATAAAACAGTGAAAACTTGTATTAAATGTAATGTTATCACCATAATTTTTTTGTCATTAGATAGAAGGAAGACTGAAGGAGTATCTGATATATATATATATATATATATATATATATATATATATATATATATATATATATATATATGTATGTATGTATATTTACATTCAATAAAAATCAGTGAAATTATTGTTTGAAAAGTTATTTACATCACGTAACAGTGTTGGGTGTTCCGTGTGTATTTATTGCATGGAAAGGTGTTTTTGACAGAAACAGTAAAACAGACATTGATTTTAAAAATCAAATTATTATTAACCAATTTACAAGATCTTATATTTCTAAAGGTATATTGCTTTATTTATATCTCTATATAAACATTTTTGTGAAGAAATATGTGGGTTTATGTTCAACAGTTTAATCCGAGATTGTTCCGAACCTTGGTTCTCAGCTTCCTATTTTCTCTTGCTTTTAAAATATTTATGACAATAGAATGTACTTTTTATTTTAATTATTAATGAAGCTTCTAAACTTCTTTGTAAATCTTTTTTGCTACTGTCTTCCACTTGCGTGGATGATAAAAATTTCCTTTTGAAAAATTAGGTGAGAATGATTGCAAATTAAACAAATTTAATCTAGGGGGTCTGTTCATTAAAACTTATATGAGGTGCTCAAATGCTGAGCTATCTCCTTTTTAATGGTTTCATGATATTCACCAGCAAATTTTACACATTTCAAATTTCATTGCTTTATCTTGAATAGTTCTTTTAAACGCAGTTTTATCAATGAAAACAAAAATGTTGACCCAATATTTTCAGGAAAATGTTTTTTTTTTTTTTTTCAGCTTCAAATGCTTATATTTCAAAAAGTTAGGATGGATTTTAATAATATAAAAACCAAAAGTCTTCAATCAATTTATATTTTATAAATATCCTATTTTTTTATGTCAAAATATAAAGTTAAATTTTTTTGTGAGCATTGCTAAATTCACTGACAATTCTAAGCAAATTAATAAACAAAATAAGACCAAACCTGAGTTTAACCCAAATAAGAACATGCAGACTTACCCAAATCCTGTTTTGCAACGAGGATTTTGTCCATCATTCGTAAGTGCTTCACTGATGCCTGACGCAGATGATCCCAACCCTTCCCCATCTTTCCAACCATGCCGTTCCATAATCTTTCGTCCAAATCCTTTTGTGTGCTTTTCAAATTTGCCAATACCAGCAATTCTGTTATCTTCATCCTCAATACCATCTCTTCGTCTCTGATCTCGACGGATCCTAATCAAGTCACGTCCATCCATATCACCACTGCCTGGTTCATAATACCCAGACATATCCACATCCCAGTCATCAGCTGTTTGCTCATCAAAATCTACAAAAAAAAAAAAAAAAAACAAAAAAAAAAAAAAAAAAAGCTTAATTTTAAGATGTGAAATGATTATAGATATATGTGTGTCTATACATGATTAACACTTTCAAAGGCTTGTAAGATAAAAACACAGACTATTTAATCAATAACAGTTTCTCTTTATGTAAAATAGATTTTGTTCTGAAAGACAAAAATGTACGTTTGCTTTTAAATTTATTTTGAAAAATTCAACTTTTTACCAAAAATATGAAAAGATTATTGTTCTTTTCATATCTATCTATATATAAAATTCTGTCACTTCCATTAGTCTGTCTGTCCATCACCCCCTCTAAAATAACTATACATTGACTGATCAAAACAAGATTGTGGAGAGAAATACAAATACATAAGGGATGGGTACAAAGTACATTTGTTTTTACTAGAGTGCATAGCTTAGTACAAAAAATTTTCAATAATTTTTTTGGAAAAATTAAGTTTTATTATTTAACATACAAAATACTCCCACTATTTTAAAAACAATTTAATCAACAATACTAAATACAGTAGGGATTGCAACTGACACATGTTGCAAAAAAATTCTAGTTTACTAAATTTCACTTGGACCATCCCAAAGATAAACTAGGGAAGAAGATTGTCTTGCACCAATTTCCCAGGTTGGGAGGAACTTGCATGCCTTTTAAACAAAAACTTTTAATCTTGGCTTCTTACCTGGCCTCAACGATTAACCCAGGTAAGAAGTAATCTCAGCCAAAAGTAAAAGTAAACTCATCATTGTCAACCTCAATATTCAAAATTAGTAACCAAACATCCTTTTGAATCTGATAAACAGGAAATATGCAAAAGATTTTTCAATCATAAATATTTGGTTGTTTTATGCCACATTAAAATCTTCAAAGAAATGTTTACCAATCTACTGCAATAAGTCTTCAGGTGAAACATCTCCAAAAGAAAGCAAATATTGTAATACTAGGCAGTAAGCAGTATATAAATTTTGTATATTAATGTTATATATGATTGTTAATTTTCTTGAATTTCATTTTAATCAGCACCCCTCGTCTAAAATTAGCACAGAAAAATTTTCATTTGTATAAATTTTGACTTACAGGAAATAATCAAATCTTTCAAAAATTAACTTTCCAAGAAATATTCCTTATCTTATCTGAACAAGTAGAAATAAAATAAAAATTCGACTGAAACACACATGATTAAAAAATTGTTTAATATCACCCAAGGAACTGTTCCAGTGAAAGAGTCAAAGGAAGAGTGACAAGAAGGATATTTTATAAAGAAACTTAGAGTATTTTTAGATGATTCTAACATTTTTTTTTTATTACTGAGTTCGTCTCAAGCAAGGCAGTAAAGCCACTAAGACACAGGATGTTACTGGGTGTGGAAGAATTAGAAAATAGAAACATTATTAAGGAAGAAGAAGAGTAATCAGGAAGACAGTAAATAGCAATTGACATTGCATTTAAATTTTTGAAGGTTAAAATTGACTGGATAGTTTTCATGAGAATCAATTACTGAAAATCCACAAGACTTATCATAAAGTGATACACAATATTGCCAATGAAGAATTTCAGTCATGAAACAGGGTTAAAGATCTTTACAACTGCAATAAAACAACAGTGGAATACAACAAAAAGTCATGGAAAGAGTAAAAAAGTTTAAATTAAGCTACTGTAAAACTCTTTCGAAAGTAAATCCAACTCTGATGCTATAGTTGTTGTTAAATGACGTAAAATAATCTGATATTAATAAAAAAAAAATTTTTAAAAATAAAGGTATGATAAAAAATATACCATATATACTCAGATAGGTCACACTTTTTTTACCAAAAATTTCACCAAATATTAGGGGGGGTGCCACCCTATCCCACTCGACATAAATGTAAAAATAACACTACCTTGTCATCATGATTTCTGAGAAATCAAAAATGATATCCATAAACAGTAAAACTGTGGTTTTTCTCTGTATAGAAACAATTTATCTATCATATATACTGAATCACTTCTTTAAACCTACCTCATGCTGCTTGATTCACATAGTCATCACTAAATAAAATTATAAAATATTCATTGATCCATCAGTCAATGTTTGGTTGGGGCCCTCACATTAGACTAGTATAGAAACCCTGAACATGCATACATAAGTTAAAGAACCACATGTAGATGTTTATTGACAAAGAAAAAATAGTCCCATGATTCATTCTGCAAAATATATATATTTATCAAAAATATGTTGTATAATATGACTTAAAGAAATGAAATATATTCTTTATGAGGTAATTTTCTTTAAGGGTTGTTTCATATAACATTAAAAGTTGTTCTTAAGTGTTATTTACAAAAAACAAAGCGCATGAATCTAGTACTCAAAACATTTGCACTATTTTGCATTGTGCAGCAGTATAGTTGGTAGCCAAATTTATAGTTTATAATTGTAATTGTTGCACTAATTATGAGTAAAAGAAAGAGTTATGAAGCAGGTTTTAAATTAAAAGTACTAAATTATGCAGAATAACATGGAAATCGATCCGAAAAAGTGTATTAATAATTGTAAGTTTTGAAATAAAGGTAGATATTTGATAATTCTTACATTTAAAAAGGGCTGAGTAACTCCCCAGATTATAGTGCGATCTATCTGTGAGTCAACAGTCACTCATCAATTATTAAGCCATAAAGAGGGGGGGGGCGACCTATCCACGAGTATATACAGTACAAATTTAACTCACCTCCCTCCTGCTGTTTCCAGAATTGTGCATCTGTATAAAACACCAGACCACTTCCTCCTTTCTCCCATTTCAATTCAATCTCCTGCTCAAAGAGACGTTCTTCGTTTCTTTCTTGATTGCTAGGGTCATCATGAAGTGCTTCATGTCGTTCCCATTCCTCACATTCATCAGCATCGTCTTCCGAATGATCAGAGCCTCGTTCAAACTCTATCATCTTTTCCTCAATTCTCAGCGCCATCTTCTTCCTCCTTGCAGCCATTTCTTGTTTCCGCCTCCACTTTGCTTTCTGCTTTGCAATTTCTTTCTTTTTTCTCATTTCGTCATCTTTTGTTTCACAACTCAATGCTTTCTCTTCTGTTACTCTTGATTTTTCTGATTGGCAACTCTGAGAAATCTGCTCCTTAAATGGCCTCCCCTTCTCTTTTAGATCGTCTTCTTTATTGGTTTTATCATTATTTGAATGATTTTCTTCATATTCACTCATTTTCTTTTTCTCTTCTCCTTGACTTGCAATTTTCCTCTCTACATCTTCCATTTCTTCATTCATTACCTCTTTCTCTATTTCTCTTTCTACTACCTTCATTTTCTTCTTCTTTTCATAACCATCATTTTTGTTTCTCTCCTCCTCCTCCTCTTCTTCTCCCAACCCTTCCCTTTCTTCTTCTTCCTTCTCTTCTTCATAATCACTTTCTTCCTTCTTGTCCATTTCTTTTCTTTCCTTCACCATTTCTCCCTCCGCATCCTTTCCTTCCGACATTTGATTTGAATCATTCACCGTTGTTGTTACATGACCCAACATTCTTTGCTCGGCACCAGTATCCCAGTTCTCAACAGCTTCCATATCTTCATCACTTGCATTCTTCTCCTCATCAGAATACTGAACATTTCCTCTTGTTCCCTCTTCCTCCATTTGCAACTCGTGCCCTGAACCACTTGTGATCGGCAGCCAGCAAATAGTGTTATTCTCTTCATCCACTCTGAAATGGTCAGAATCTTCATAAACAAATGGGACATTTCCATATTTCTTATTTATGGCCATCTTTGGAAACTTTAATTTCAGTTTTGAAATGATTTTTGGTGGTAGTAAGCACTGTCTAATAAGATCCAAGAAAACCACTGTTGGTGTCCCCACATTACCTTTTGGCATCACGGTGGGTGGGTGCAGTTCAGCAAGGTTTTTTAAGTCTTCCTCATAGAACTCTTCCCGATTTGAGGACATTTGGGATTGCTCAAGACGAGTCTTGTAGAGAGGTTCAATATTATCACCTGGATGAGGAGAGAAAAATAGAATTGGAAATAATTAAGTAATTTGCAATCATTGTTTTGTTTAATTTCAAAATAAACATATTCAAGGTTACTTGACATTATTAAACATCCAATTATTTTTCACATTCACAAATCAAAAAAATCCCCAACTCTTTTGACGCTCGATTTACAGCTGCATCATGTTTAAACACCAGTTCCTCTATGATCACCAAAGTTAAAGCAACATCAAACCTGGTCAGTAACTTGATGGGTGACAATTTTGGGAATACCAGGTTCTGTAAGCTTGGATGTGCAGGTGGTGTAATAGATAATGGCTCGGAATTGTTAATCAGAAAGCAGAGTTCCAATTCTCATATTTCTTGTATTCGCTTACATGCAAATACCCTTGGGAAAAGTATGAATTTATCTCTTCTCCCTACACCTATAGGTTAATTAGTAAGACTTGTATAACTAAACCATTATTATCTCAAAAGAAAAAAAAAATTCTTACTATCTAAAAATATTTCCTGGCTTTAAATAATATGGAAAGCATTGATAAGCTGTAGAAAACAAATCAATCAATGAAATACTGACTAGCTGCATAGCAATGTCTTTTAGATTTATTTAAATTCTCTGGAATATATTGTCATCCACAGACATCTGATTGCTTAAAGCCAGGATCGGGATTTGATCCTAGCTTGAAGCAATTGAATGTCTAGCCACACTGATGAGCTGTGATACAGTTAAACAGTCTGTCTGTGGATGACAATATATATGCACCTGAAAAACTTAAATTCGGTTGTGCACTCCTGGAAGATAAGTAAAAATTTGTAAACAATGACTATTACTACTAATATTACAAGGCTCTTTCCTGAATTGAGCACTGTCAGTCATTGGTGTGTTTATTCACAGAATAAGTACATAAAAATTTGCCTTTCTTTCACCCAGGCGCTGATGGCTTAGGGGAAATATATCCAACTGTTGCCGAATCACTCCTGGCTTGAAGCAATCAGATGTCTAGCCACACTGATGAGCTGTGATACAGTGAAACAATCTGTCTGTGGATGACAATACATTCTCTGGAATATAAATGTATAGAAACTACCATAGCCAGAAAGTGAGGGTTCAGTTTATATATTGATTGTAATATAGAACTGATCCCCCACATTATATCCACATCATTTCTTATTCATCAAATTCTGATTAGATATGAATCCGCCTATCCCACCCCCAAGCTACGAGTTAATTAGTAAGATTTGGATCACTATATCATTATTATCTAAAAAAAAAAAAAAATCTTACAATTTTCTGGCTTTAAATAACCTGCAAAGGGTTGATAAGCTATAAAAAAAAAATCAATCAATGAACCTTCTGACACTCATGTTATTGTCAAAAGTTTTCTTCTAATTTAAACATTATTGAAAAAGTATTAAGTGAATAATGTTAACACCTCAGTAATCCAAGCCAATGTTGTACCAGCAAATTAATACATTTTACTTTTATATAATATCTTATATCAATAAAAAAAAAATATTTTGTAAAAAGTTACAAATATTTGTTTAATAATAACCGAGTATAATGCCTTTTCCGTTAAATATAATCAAGAGAATTGATGAAACTCAGAAATATGCAGATGTGTTAGAGTAATTATCAGAACAGAACTTAGTTAAATTCATTTTCATGGCAGTAGCTTCACTAATTCACTGAATAAAGAGCATATCATGATGAAAAAAGGCCCTAAACTTAAAAACAAGGTTTCATTGTCAAAATGTTTACTTTATTATTAAGAGTAAAGGCCAAGGTATTTTTTGATTATATTATTAAATTTTTTAATCCTTTCTATCATGTACAAAGTTTTGGTTAAAAATCTTGTTTTTCTTGCATCAGTGGGTGGGAGACCAACAATGATTAAAGATTAATATAGGAAATTTTAGCATCTTTTTTTGTGGTAAAAAAAAAAAATACATCGATTTGGAAATTCTTGCAAAATTCAAATAATTGTTGGACTTTAATTAAACTTTTCTGGACTTATTCACAGATGAATTATATTATTTTTTAAATAATTTTTTTTTTTTTTAACATCTGCTTATTCCCCCCCCTACACAGACTTAATTTTATAAAATTTTAAAATTTCACCACCTTCATATTTATATTAATTAAAAGCAGGACACCTTGGAGAATTGTAATCAGCAATTTCTTTTTGTAAAAGAGAAACACCATTTACTGAAAATCTGCTCTGAATCGTAAAATAAAAGTGGAATAAAATGATGACATTATTTAATTAAAAAAGCTTTTAATTGCTTTTATAAACAAGATATATTAAGGACATTATTGTCTTTAGAAAAAAAAAATTTTTTTTGATGAATAATGAATTTTTACAAGAGTTATTTTCATTATTTTTAATTTTTTATAATAATTTATTAAGTTTTAAATCTTTTAAAATGCTGTATTAATGAAATTGCAATGACAGATGACTAAAAAAAGTGTGCTAATCCACTATTTTAGAAAAAAAAAAAAAAAACTCCTTCCAGTCAATTTAAATTATTTTTGAAATACAGCAAAATATTATGCTTATTGGAAACATTAAAATTTAATCTCTTAGCATGAAATTAAAACTAAAATAAAAGCTTCAAGAAAGATTTTTCATTTTTAAAAATTTATTTTAAACTTTCATTATCACGTTTTCTGTGGAGGTGTACTTACTTTTATGTATCATTCTATTTGCCTAAAGTTTATGATATGCAGAAAAAAACATTTTAATCTTTTTTTTTTAATCACATCTATTAATCAACTCTTCAATATTACAGTTATCTCCCTTTTTGGCGAATTTAGTTTTAGCCACATTTTAATAATTTATTTATTAACTATAATAATGAAAAGAACAGACGAAACTGAGAAATATAAATATTTTTGATTAATTCTTTTTCATGGCTTTTACATACCACCAAAGTTTACAATCTGCTGAAAAAAAGCATAATATCTGTTCAAATGGAAGTGAGTAGACAAGAATTTTTCAATTTTAAGAAAACCTCTTAATAAAATTCGACTCGAATTCAAAATATTTTTTTAAATGGAATGGTGGTCTTTAAGTTGTTGCTATAATATATAGAAACATACATTTACAAAAAAGTCAAATTTAATAAAGACATTTTTATCTTTTTGGTTAATCAACTCATTAACGTTGCGGTTATCTCCCTTCTCTTAAGTTGTCTGCCCTTCCACTTACGACTTAAAAAAATTATAAAATTCACGTTTTGTCAAAGCAAATATGGTTATTTGCAAATAGATTTTTCTAGAAGACAGGTATTCGGAGTTTACAGTCAACGAATAAATCTGACTGTATTTTTTCTTTACAAGAAAGCAAAGCTTAAAGAACTGACTTTGCTTATCCTTCCAGCAGCTCACATACAACATCAATTTACAAATTTTATAAATTGATGTTCAGTTGATTCTACTTGTTGGTTTATTTAATGTTGAATTTCATACGAGGCACCCAATAAAAATCCAACTACTCACTCCAGAGACCATCTTGCACCTTTATATTTCTCCCATGCAATGAATATTGCTGCCACATCTGATCTGGCATTTCTGCTATATATCTAGAAATTCTTGACAAAATCTAAAGAAAAATCTGAAATGTTATCAGTGTCATCTCGGCTTCAGTCACTTTTTCCACCACCATAACGTAACTTCCATGTAACTTTTCTATCAATAATTTCACGGTTATTTTTCTGATGAGCTTTCCTCTTTGATTCTTTGACTTTAAGCGCAGTACTAGGTTAGCAGATAGGTCTATTTGACTGTTGAAATTGTTAGATGTAACCGTAAGTTTTATTGTAATAATTTCTTCTCTCAGAAATGAAACTCTCCCCCAGCTTCTTACTTTCCTGTCAACTAAGATCTTCAAAAATGTTAATGTAATGTCAATCATCATGTTCTTTCTCTTTTTTAATCCTTTTCTCAGTTCCTTTCACAATCAGTCACCCCTTTGTATCTCAGTGGCCCCTATTACCTTGTTTGGGCTGAAAAGACTTAAAAAAAAAAAAAAAAGACCACTTTAAGGCTCCATTGTAATAGTTTATTTCACCAGAGACCTTTTAAAGGACGCTGGATCATTAGATATCACTTCCAAAAGGTGAAACGAAAAAAAATTTAAAAAAATCAAATTATTTATTTATTTATTTTTTCCACTTTTGGAAGTGATGTCTGATGATCCAGCGTCCTTTAAAAGGTCTCTGGTGAAATAAACTATTACAATGGAGCCTTAAAGTGGTCTGTTTTTTTATATATATATATATATAAGCAAATATATGGATATAGATCCGACAGTATGAAGAAAAATATACAGAAAAGACAAACAAAAATCCTAATATGCAATTATGCTGTTTTAATGTTAATATAATGTCAACGTCGGACGTTTCAGTCTAGTAGACTTTCTTCAGGACATATTCATAAAACATAATTAACATTAGACTATATTTAATTCAACATGAAAAGACGATGGACATAAGAGTAAGACTAATCAAAACAGACAACTGAAATTTTTCAAGATCAGCGTTCCGTTTCAATACACACAACTAAATCTGATCATAATTTCGATTTTGATTCTGTGAAGATTTTAAAATATATTCATAATAAAAATCTTAGGCGGATTTATGAGGCAGGCATAATATCTATCTCACGTCACGGTGAATACTAGACCTGGCTTCTTTAATATTTCCCTTTCCTAGCAAGATTAATGCAAACAAACGTACATATAAGTTTTTTAAAATAAAATAAAATTCATTTTCATTTTTCATTTTTCATTCAAAATACTATATTTTAGGAATACGTTTTTGACATTATGTTTTTATGAAACATTGCTATTGACTGAAACGTGATCATATTGAAACAATTGTTTGTTTTTTTTCCGTATATTTTTCTTCATATATATATATATATATATATATATATATATATATATATATATATACACACACGCACTTATAATGCCTGTCAGAGAATAATTGTAAATCAGTAAACAAAAAAACAGGTAAACAACATAAGTGCTCTGAAGAATTGTGCATTTATCTGACCTTGTGATTTGCTGTTTAACTTTATCTTCTTAATATGACAGACATTTCTCATGCATTCTCCTTTCTCAGTGATCCAATGTCGACAGTTATACATCTGCATGAGATTCTTGTATTGAGACTCAGATAAACGAATTACACAACAACATGTGTCGGACAGTTTAGGATCTGGAAGAAAAAAGGAAACAGAAAATTTAGTAGATATGATTTTATTAAATTTATAGAGAGATTTATATCTTCAATTCTCCCTGCAGATTTTAAAGACGACAAATCTGACTATAATTAAAATGATGAAATATTGTTAACTGATCAATTCCAACATTGATGTCTGGGGGGACACGCAGACAGACGCATATCAATTATTTTAGCAAGTGATATGGACAAAACCCTCTGTCTACAAGTCCAATAACAATCAATTTACAAAGAATGTAAATATATGTATGTATCATACATAAAACTTGAGAGTAAAATTACATACAAATTAGGATGCATACAAGATCAAAGTGGATGAATTTGAATAAGAACTGGCAGGTCTTCTTTTCTCCCTCAACAATATTCCAATAGCAAATTAACTTATGTGTAAACACACAAAAATCTTATAAAGAAGCCAACAACAAAAAATTAACATGATACTAGCATTATATTAATTAATATTAACTAAAACAGAATAAAGGTGTGACAGCCTAGAGGAACACAGTACAATCAATTTGCAGAACATAAATTCTTAATACATGACATAGTTGTTAAGGTATGCTGCCTTAATAGTAAATCCAATATGTTCAACAAAGTAAAATTGGCAACTGCTCTCCAAAATGACATCTAATCAGTTGTTAAATAGGGCAAGAAATGGCTTGAAAATTTGAATGCCTCAAAAAATAAACTGCTATCTTTTAATTATCATAGAGAGTCATTTTTGCCTACCATCAACTGTGGCTGATGCTAACCTCCAGGAGAGCAACTCATTGCACTTTCTTGGTCTCTTTGGAATGATCTTATTGAATCATTTGCTATGTCTGCTGCTAGGATTATTACTTCACCGTGTTGTGCCAGACAATTTTTCTTACTTATTTATAAATCTACCACTTGTCTATGCATTGTATATTACTGCTACTTCTAGTCTGTTGCTCCTAATATATATCTCAAGATTCTCAACAAAACCCAAAGATGTTTCTGTAATGTTATCAGTCTTAACCTGGCATCTTGACTTCAGACACTTTTCACCACCATGATGTGGCTTCCCTCTGCCTTTTCTACAAATATTTTCATGGCAATTATTCTAAGCTCTCCTCCTTCGTACATTGACTGCATGAATTTAAGCATACTATTAGACTGGCAACTAGGTTTCATTATTTTACTGCTAAATTAGCTAAATGTACCCATCAGTTCCATTTTAATAGTTTTTCTCGCACTTCTCGCCTGTGGAGATCTCTTCCAGTTTCTTGCCATGTATGTTCTTTAAAAATTTAAATGCAACATCAATCATCATCCCCTGTCATCCTGAATCCTGTTCTTTTATTGTCCTTTCCCCCTCACTAAAGTCTTTCCATTCACTTTCACTTCCAGTAAACCTTTGCATCTTAGTGGCTTTATTGCCTTGCTTGAAGTGAAATGATTGAAAGAAAATATAGGGCATTTGCTAGCCTCATGCTCCAGAGCCTGTCTAGCTAGGAATCCACACTCCCCAGCCTCTGTCAGAGATAGACTATCTTAAAGAGACTTCACCTTGTTAGCCTTATCTAGAGTGAGTCGTTGGCTATATTCAGTAGTGCAAGTCCTAATGCTGTTCTTAAGACTCTCCCACCACTTATTCTTAATAACTGCCCCCACTAGTTCCCACTGCACTAATCTAGTTAGCTGTTGCGGAAGTCCCACCTGTTCAGTAAAGACAGATTGAACTTCCAGTGTTCAGCTATTCTAGGCTTAGCCCCTAACACAGACAAGTCTATGGTCCGAATAGTCTAAACAGTGGAACATAGGACAATCTAGCACATCTAGATTGACTCTTCTCATAAACATTCTATCTAGGTAGCTGGCTACCCAGGTAGACATCCACTTAAGAGCCCACAATTACATTTCCTGCCCTAGATGATCAACCCAGTATCTAATAACAAGCCCAAACTCACCAAATCAGATCAACCAAGCTATGATCACCCAACGTCCCACTAGCTCCCCAACCACCATCTATCTTGGGATCCAATATGGCATTTCAGTCCCCCATTATGACTACACTTTACCATGGCCAATTATTGCACACCCAACCACATATTCTTTAATTAAGTCATGAAGTTACTGCAGAAATGGTCATATCAAAAATCAACATGGTGCTAAAATCATCACAAAGTAACTCTTCAGTCAATTTGGGGATAACATGTTCTGCCATTATATTTTTATTAATGGTTTTCACACACCCAATAATGTGCTCAGTGTACACTCCTGATCAAAAATTTAAGACCACTTGAAAATTTTTTATAAGAGACTGTTTGTCATGAATACATTATAAACTTTTTCTTACTTAAGGTTACTAATTCTAAGGTTATTTTTATAAAAACGTCAATTTCTCAATAAAATGTTCGGATTATAACTTTTTGTCTATATAACCTTTTAGATTATAAAATTAGTAACCTTAAGTAAGAAATATTTAAAATTATTCCATGAAAAACAGTCTTTTAAAAAAATTTTTCAAGTGGTCTTAAATTTTTGATCAGAAGTGTATCTAACAATTCCATGGCTGAATAATGTGTTATCATAAAAGGTAAACTCTCAAAGCCATGTTTAGATGTGGGGAGGATCCCATACTAATATTTTTGTTTATTTGTATATATGTTTATTTATACAAGTCATGGGTTTATTTTATGATGTTGTAAATAAAATCATGCTGTAGTACACACACACTCTCCAGATGTTTGTAAAAATTGAAGTAGTTTTTTTTTTTTGGGGGGGTATTCATGGAGAGAATGCGTTATTTTGGTGATTGTGGAATATGTTTGGTTTATTTATGTGGTATTATGGTGAAAGGATTTTTATAAGTATGATTGGATCAGTGAATGTCACTAGTTAAGTCAAATTTAAGAATATTGATGACCAGTTTTTTTCCCACTCCCTATTTTCGGCCTTGTGCCACATTTTATTTTTTGTACATAAATAAATATTCAGAACGGTATTGAACAGGCTACACTTGCTGCGGTCAGTAGTAGAGTGTTTGAGAGGGAACGGGTCATGGGAATTGTTTACAAGAAAAGAAACGAAAAGTTTTACTTTTAGCTATAAAAAAAAAATCCTCCACGACGAGTCTGCGAGATGATGCCAAAGAAAGAGAAATAGCTTACCAGAGAAAGCACAAGTGCAAACGTACACTAACAAAGATGTATAAATAAATAAGTTTCGAGTAAAAAAAAAAATTAAATTAGCTTAAAAAAAAAAAAGAAAGAAGAGATTACACAAAAAACTAAACAATTCCATCTTCAAGACATGAATAAACATACCTTTTTTTTTAGTTTTCAATATGCCATGTGTTTCTTGCCAATCTTGCGTATTATTTTGCGTGCAATTTAAAGAAATTTCTGGATTTCTTTCCGTTTCTCTGGCTTCTGGACGATGTCTAAAGTGAAAACAATCAAATCCATCTGTCTCTATAATACGGGAGAAGAAATTCCTCAGGTCACTCGAATGATAACGACTAGGTATATTCCCAACGACGGCGTACAACAATGTTGCCGCCATGTTGGGAATGGTGCGGTCACGTGACAACAGAGTTATTCCCCATGCAATGCTTAGCTCAAAAACTGACACTAAACTTCAAAGTGATAAACTGCGTGCACTTTATTACTTCAATAATAAGCAGAACATTTACTGTAGTCGTGTAGTGAGATAATTCGTAATCATCTCTCACAGACCAATTTACTGTGCAGTAAATTCAGTTCTCCTTGAATGCTTCACAACTCTGGCCTTGTGACTGACTCAGCTAAACTAAATAAATGATGAACGTGTTAAAAATGGAAATTAATTTTTAAAGCAAATTTTGAAGAACAAATAAGAAGAGGTTAATTTTGCAATTTTATATTTATTAAAATAAATTAAAAAATCATTCTTCAGAATGTAACAAGGAAATTTGGAAAATAAAGTAAATTATATTAAATAAATCAAAGATCAATTTTTGCTGTGACTTAATTTACTTTATTTTCTTAATTAAATAAACTTTTTCAACTAATTCAGTTCCTGTGATGAATTGTAATCAATAAAATATTTTCTCTTAAATATCACAAGTGTTTATTTTTCAAATGTTTATCATTAAATTTTAAATAAGAAATATCTAGAGATGAAAAAACAATTTAAAACGATTTAAATTTATTTAAAACGTGTAAACTAAAATTTCCCCAGATTTGAGCTTAATCACCTTGTAAATATTATCTCTGATTACAAAGTTTTTTGGTTTTTTTCTGTCCAATTTCATTTGTACAGGAAGTAAAGATTAGAGATTTATTTGGATCAAAAGATGACCTTGACTGATAAACCTTGATTGATAACATTTGGTTGAAGTTTCTGGAGAGTGTAACACAAAAAGTTGAGATAAATACTATACAAGTGGGCTAACATATTTGGACAAATAGTACTTGTATTTTCCTCAGAAGTTGAGGAGGTAAAAATTTGACCTTGTCAATATATTCATGTAGTCCACAAAGAAAAAGGAAAGGAGAAGAAGAAAACAGATAAAGTATAAATTCAAAATTTTTATATTCCTGAAATAGTTTCAGTGATTTACAAAAATTGTTTTTTTTTTAGATCATTTTCTTCTTCTTAAGACAGTTTTTCTATGAAAGAAAACAGATATATAAAAAATTTTAAATTACACAAAGACCACATTCGTCTTTTTTGTGCAAAATATAAAAATTTTATCCCTACCAAATCTAAGTTCCTATGCCAAGCACAAAAACCTAGTTAGTAGGAATAGTAAGTCATAATAGGTGAAAATCACAAAATAAAATATTGCGTAAAATTTTAAAGGAAGAACATTTATTACACAATTACAAAAATGGTACAAATACAAAGTTTGCACAAAAATTTCCTTTTGTGCATCTATTAAGGCAGAATGACAGCATCTGATAAAAAGGATTTCCACTGAGAAATAGAAAAAATTACAGTTTGAGAAAAGACAAGGATTTTGAAAAAGACCAAAAGAGAAAGCAATACAAGAAAGACAGAAAACAAAAACCTTTGAAAAAAATAAAAACACCTACTTTTACTTGCTCCATGAGCATCTCTGGGACAAATAATAATTTCATAAAAGTCCCTTTTAAATTCACACTGTTCATGCTTAGGAAAAGGTAACTTGTAACCTTGTGCCTTGATGCTCTTTACTTGATGTCAAATGCCTTCTGCTCCTTGATGTTAATTTGCCTTGTCCCCTTGTGGTCAAATGTCTTCTCCCCTCTATTCAGAAAATAGGCTCACAGAGGTCCCCCATTTGGGTTCTTACTAGGTCTCTCGTTGGTTAGTATACATGAAAAAATAATTCATGCTTAGGAAAATTTCTTTGAATACTTTTCGTTCTTTGTTGTCCAACTGCAGGAGAATTTACACTTGATCTTCAAAATTCTTTAGTCTCTCTGCATCTGGCTGATAACCTTGAGCCTCCTTGATGCTCTCTACTTGATGTCAAATGCCTTCTGCTCCTTGATGTTAATTTACCATGTCCTCTTGCTGTCAAAAAGTCTTCTTCACTGACCTGAGATCTTATTTATTCAGAAATTTAGGCTCACTGAAGGCTCCATCCAAGTTTTCACAAGCGCATCAAACCATGGTTCTCATTGGCCACAAAATACGATGAAACAATTCTACATAATTTTTCACAATTTTGGTGGATTTTAACCACTGAGCTGAAAAAGATATACCAGTGTAACAATTTTTTACACACACCATCTGGCCTTCATAAAAATATACTTCTCCTAAAAGAACAATGGAATAAAAATTCAACCTAGACAATTAGACATTTATTCAAAGCTGACATTTTAAAAGTAGTAAAAATAAAATTTTTATACATATTTCATGACCCTTTAATGAGAATTGTCATACAATCTGGCCAACTAAAAATAGGCAAGTAGAACAAAAACACTAGTTCTGTCGACAGTGAAAAATAATATTGACTTATGAATCAACAGTTCACCATGACAGAAAATGCAATATCGTAGGGAAAAATGACTGAATATATATACATCAAATCATATACTTATTATGTGATAGGGTGTATGTACAAGAAGATTTTTATTGACTCGGATTATTACACCTGGCTGCTACTCAGGCTCTCATGCAGGCTCTCTCTTGCATTCTACCTGGCTACTTGATGCATTGTCTTTTTATTTGTACTGCATGTAGGGATGTCATAGCGTCTACAACAAGTGTTCAAATATTTAACAGAAAAATGCTTGGATCAATTTAAAATTGTGTTATTTGGAGAGTATAAAATGTTGAATAACTTAATAACTATCAATGCTTAAAAGCTGAAATTTTGCAGATTAATAATTTGACAAATGTTTCAAATGCAGTACAAATTTATCTTTCTCCATAAATTACAAGTTAATTAAATTTTATTTTAAGTTAGTATACACTCACTCAGAACATGTCTGTGAAATTTCAAATTTCTATAATTTCTTAATCTCACCAAACCTTCATTTATAAAGATTCTAAATGTTTTTCTTGGCCAAACTCTATAAAGTATCCACTAAATATCTATTTGTTCAGATTATATAGAGTAGCTCGAGTACTGGTTAATATAACAGATATCTCTTTAAAGGATATTTACTATTGAAAATAAATTTAAGGAAAAAGAAAATACTTTTTAAATCATTAGAAGTTTTGTTGATGTCTAAAATTAAATTTATTTACAAAAAATAGTATTATGAAATGGACAAAGTCTGACAATTATTTTAAAACATTTTTTATGCTTATATATTCTTTATATAATACAAATATTTAAGTAAATGCTCTGTTTATAATAAACAGTATTAACAACATTTACTGGTGTGAATGTCTGAGAAATTTTCATAGAAAATATGTGTCCTCTGTGGCTCAATCAGTAAAAGCACATCAGCCTATATGATTGTTCCATATAGGATACAGGTTCGATTCCTGTTGGAGGACACATACTTTCTATGACAATTTCGGACATTCAGGATGGTTAATATTGTTTATTATAAACAGAGCATTACTTAAATATTTGTATCTATAAAAAGAACGTATAAACATAAAAAATGTCTTTAAAAAATAGCATATCAAAAATACTTTCATTTTTTTTCTTACAGATCTTTACCCCAAAGCCTATTTCATGTATACATATAAGAACAATCTATGATTCTACTGTATTATTAATATTATTATTATACATTATGGTGTATCAAAAGTATTTTCTTTTTTTTACAGACCTTTACTCCAGAGCTTGTTTGATGCTCATGTCTGAAGACAATCTAATACTCCATTATATTTTTAATATTATTATATATATCATATAATTATCAATACTATCCAATACCTTTTGATACAATATCAAAATTCTAGCAATTTTTAGGTATTATTTTAAACCTGGCTTCATAGCTGCTGAAGTTGTTCCTAGAATTTAGAAAATGAAAAAAAATTAAATGATATTAAAAGAAAAAATATGAAATTTTGTTTTTAAGTGCAGTAATTCAAGAAAAGAAATTAAAATAACAATATGCATTTTAATAATGCATAATTATGTTTAATAAAATGTTTATTATTATTATAAGCTGGGTCACCAGTGCTAGACTAATACCTAATAGATACATAGGCTAATGCCTAATAAATACCTAGGATAATACCTAATAAATACCTAGGCTAATACCTAATAGATACATAGGATAATACCTAATAAATACCTAGGCTAATACCTAATAAATACCTAGGCTAATACCTAATAAATACCTAGGATACTACCTAATCAATTTTGGTAGATGGAGTATATCAGATTGGGGAGGCAGTTCATTTAAGGGAAGGAAAACTCTGATTTTAAACCTCCACTGCCTTGTAGTTATATCCAAACATGGGAAATACTATGAAAGTAAATCCAGACATAAAATCTGGAATCAAGCCCTGAAGGTGGTTGACTGTCAACACTGACAATCTTCCAGTAACTTCTGCAGCCAAGCCAGCCCCAAATTTAATGCCCTGTATTCCCTTGGATCTTGTCAGTACAGCCAAGAGTGGAGCCATGTGGTTTGGGTAACACAAAATGCTCCATATACCATCAACTTGGAGAGGACATCCCAGTCTGACCACCAAATGACAGAATTTTGACCAGAGTGGGCACTTCCATTATCTTGCAAGATAACCAGATGCCTACTAAATCGACAGTTCAAGACCAACACTTAAACAAAAGCATTTGATACACTAGTCCCTTTATAAATGAAATATATATTATTACAAATCATTAAATTAAGATTACAAATCAAAATAATGTTAAAATATAAGAAAAACTCTTGCTTGACACACTCATCCCCTGATGACCCCAGAATTATGATTATAAATCAAAATAATGCTAAAATATTTTCTTAAATGTTATATATGTATGGATAAAATGTCAACTAAATATTATTAATATTAGTTTTCTTTTTAAATATTCCAGACTAAATTATAGGTGTGTCTTAAATATTGGTGAATATTATATGAGAGGAAATATAGTAAGCAGATACCAAATATTTAGCACTGGAATA